AGAATTTGGATCCTGCTGCAAGACAGAGCTACCTGTAATCCAGAGGATTTCCAGGAAAGACAGCTTGGCTGCAATGGGGAATTGATTTTCTTGCACCCCACGCTACCTTTCCCTTCTTTCCCAATGCCTTTTGTGACTCAGCTCTGATCCCCTTCATGTGAGGGTTTGGCAGAAGCAGAGTGTGCAGACACCCTGGGTGTGTTGGACAGAGCACCATCAGGAGATGGATTTGACACATAAATAAACACGTCTCAAAGTCAAATTAATAACAATGCAAAGACCAAGGCAGCAGAGATCAGCAGAGAGAAAATGTACAAAAGGAAAGGAAATACACTGCAGAATCTTTCTGGGAGTTCTGTACATCCTTCCCAAGTGATTTTCTGCAATGGGATCATCCTCTGTGGGCCACAGGGCCAGAGCACTTCCCAGACAGGCTTTAAAGTTAAAGTTGGTTCAAAGGTTTGTATTTTTTGGGGGGGAACACCACAATCACATTCTGTGATTTGTTTGCTTTGAAGCCGTGCTCCTGAAACACATCTCCCTGTCCTTGTAGGCAGCTCAGGCTCCATTCATGATGAGTTCTGAGAAACCAGAAGAGACAATTTGTGCCCTCTGCCTATTTAAGGAATGAGAATGAACTCATTTGAAGGGTCACAGCTTCGTGCCTGTGAAACGATGCCTTTGAAGAGTCTGCAACAGGCAAGTCAAGACTAAACTGGGCACAGGTCAATTTTTCCATGTTCTTCACAGCTACGGGGAGGAAACCACCCTGTTAATGTGAAATCCTCTCTCTCTGAAGCTGTTTTTGAATGACAGAATGGAAAGGGTTGTGCTTCACTCCCGTGGCTCAGATGGAAGTCCCTGGCAGGGAATTTGGTGTGCTGGGAGCCGGGACAGAAAATCATTCCTCAGTTCCTGCTCAAGTGCCAGTCCAGGGGTGTTTGCAGCCTCCCCTTCTTTCCTCGTTTTTAAGACTCAAACCCAAGCTTTAATTTTCAGTTGTGACATTTAGAACACATCAGGAGTTATATTGGTGCCTCAGGTTTCAGCTTTTATATTTTTCAGATTCTGTTCTGAGCTTCACATTCAGTGTTGCTGAGCTCTGTGCACAGAGCAGGGAGACAAAACAATTCCTGCCCCAGCTGGGCACCAAGGACAAATGACCCAAATCTCAGCCCAGAGCACAAACCCCGTGGGCTGGAGAGAGAAAAACAAGCAGGGTGGGAC